TATCAACCAAGGCAACTTGAGTGGAGGTATTGGTCGGATACCGTTTTTTACGTACAATTCATGTAAATTTGACCTTTGACCCTTTAATCAATAGGGGTTATCTAGTAGCAAAGACCAATGCACTGTGAGGTTTGAGGGTAAAAGACCCATGTTATTAATGGAGTCATTGATAGGAACTGTTTGGACATACAAAGTCAATGTGGCCTTAACCTTTGACCCCCTGACCTCAAAATTAATAGGGAGTAACTACTTGCCAAAACAAATGCATCCTACAAAGTTTGAGGGCCAACAGCCTAAGGGTTGTCAAGTTATTGATTGCAAACCGTATTTTACCTACAAGTTCAATGTGATCTTTACCAAATCAATAGGGGACATCTACTGGCCAAGACCAATGCATCTTTCAGTTTGAAGTCAAAGGGCCCAAATGTTGTCAAGTTATTGATCAGAAAGCGTTTTGTTTACCTACAAGGTCAATATGACCTTGACCTTCGACCCCTTGATCCCAAAATGAATATGGCTCATCTACAGGCCAAGACAAATTTACCTGTGAAGTTTGAAGGTCAAAGTCTGATATTCAAGTTCGATGTGACCTTGAAATTTGATCCCTTGAACCAAAAAACTTTAGGGGTCAATTTATGGTCATTAACAATCCCCGAGGTCTAATCCTTCTGTAGTTATCGATCGAAAACCATTTGGTCTATTGACCGACCAACCAAGAGACAAATGCAAAGCAATCTATCGCCACTCCACTAATAAATACAGATACATCATTGGTTACTGAAATATATTGTTTCGAATCATAACATAAGAGACAATTAACATCTATAGAATAAGATATAAGTTATATTTCATCATAATATTTTGTTATTGTTAAAATATTTTATGTTTGTATTGTTGTTTACATTAAAGCATAACGTTTATACAGTTTTATAAACATGGCTGCTTTAAAATTTGTGAATAAATACGAAAAAAGGAAGTTTCCTGTACTATTATAAATTCGTTATCAAGATTTGTGACAGGTTATATGGCCGAATATAAATGATAGTTTGCATTGTTATTGTTTGTATTATCAACATCTACTGGCTAGGGTTACATATGCATACAACCATTTCTGTACAATGTAGGGCCTATCAAGAATTATCATAACCTATCACGTACACTATTCGCATGTTAAATTAAAAGAGCTATGAAAAAGAATCAAATAACACATTTCAAATGATGGAATAATAGGATCCTGGGTATACCATTCAACTGCCACATGATTGATGTACTAGCTTTCTTACATTGCATTACGTGCATGACAAATTTCAAAAACAAAAGATTTGCCAACAATAGTATCAAATAATACAACTCTATGACATTTGCGATACGGAATATTCAAATGATACTAATAAAACATTCATGATCAATTGTATACAGAAATTATGAAATCATTTCACTTGTTTTGAATGAACAATAACATCAAATTTCACTGCCTTTTTTCCGTTTAATAATTCATTTGATAACAGAAATCTTCAAGTGCATACAAACAGATGTAATTTCAATCCAAAACAAAAAGACTGGGTATACATAAATGTTGCATACTTAACACAAGGAAAATTTAAAAACAGAGCAGTTACCATTAACATTAAAAGTTATGATTATGAATGATGCCGTTTTAAGCGGCCTTTGGGTTGTTGTTTGTTGTAAACAATTCTGTGTTGTTTCAAACTAAGAACAGTAGAAATTTGATAAGTCCAAGTTGAAAGGATTTGTGTAAAAACAAAAACATTGACAAGCATTGGACGATGAAAGCGAATTTCAAAAGTTCAATAATTTTATCTAGGAAAAGTACATTATATCACTGTTAAGCCTTCACCAAATCTGCGTCCTGTGATTATTTTTTAATACGTAAGTGAGATTTTTTTTTTGTAAAAATGATCGTGTCCGCTTTACTTATTTACAGAGGGGGGTGGGTGAAGTCCTTGTTGTTAGTGTATTTTATCAAAGGCAAATTTCATTTTCAACCAGAATTCTTTTGATCTGACAATTATATACAAGAGGACCACGATGGCCCTGAAATCGCTCACCTGCATATATATGCCCAAGGGGCTGGGCCAATTTAAACCTAATGGCTTTTATTGAACAAACTTGTTGGAAATTCATAAGAAGATGTTTCATGATAAATATCTAAGCTCTAGCTCTTTGGGTTTTTTAAAAGAAGTTATTTTAAGTTTTTACTATACACATATAAGGAAAATCAATGACGCCACCACTCCCCAGGCAGGGCCAATTTAAACTCAAGGGCCCTTAATTGTTCAAATTTGGTAAACATCCACTAGAAGATGTTTCATGCTGAATATCTAAGCTTAAGCTATCTGTTTCTTTTTAAGGAGATTTTTAAGTTTTTGCTATATACAAATAAGGAAAATCAATGACCCCCGGGCCAATTGGTAGACACTGATGTTTCATGCCAAGCTATATTTAAGCTCTACCTCTTTCGGTTTTTTAAAAGAAGATTTGAAATTAAATTCTTTGAACAATTTATAAAGTTGACTACAAAAGGAACATTCCTGTGAAGTATGGATGAAATTGGATTAGCGGTTTATGAGGAGATGTCGTTTGAAGAAAAAATTTACAAACAGACGACAGACGGACGTTGTACGAAAAATTAACACAAAAGCTCACCGTGTCACTTTTTGACATGTGAGCTAAAAACAATTTATCTTCAAATGATATTTTAACCTTTAAAAGCCGCTTTGAAAAAGTACATATATGATGCGCTGGAAACAATTTTCGAAGACATGATTGTTTTTAATTTTGAAGTTTTACTGTATTATGAAACAGCACCACATAAAGCATTTCAATGTTTCCCGACTATATTTAAACTTATTGAAATCTGTATAAAGTGGATACTACAATCTAATCAAGAAGGACATTATAAGTTTGACACTATCCGTTGAGCTTCAGGTCTGCTACATATCACCATTGTGTCTTAACATATTTGTATCAAGTAAAATCCATCTAGGCCTCTAGAAATGTCAACCTGGACACAATCGTCCATGAATGCACTTTTATAAACAAGATTTTGGAGGTATAAGTGTGACCTTTGAGTTGGAAGTCCTGGTTCTTGCAAAAACACGTGGTATGCAAAACATAATTATGTCAATACAAATCCATCTAGAAATGTTTACCAGACATAATCATCAATGTATTTACTTTTATGAAACACTCATTTCATACTTGGAGAAACGAGATTTTTGTCAGCGAATACTCGTTACAATCATTGTTAAAAATCCACACATAAATGACAACATAAACAAGATGGCAATGATGGCCCCGAAATCGCTTCCCTGAATATAAAACTATCCATGGAACAAATAATATTGTAATCTATTAACAAAAGCAGATTTAAAATCTTATTCTAAAACGGACATCACAAAGTTCATATATGTACCTGAAATAGTGCATGTGTTAAACATTACTGGCTGATATTGCTTTTAGCTTTATCATAATAAAAAAATCAATGTAACCCCCTGGGATGGGGCAAATTTCGACCCCAGAGCTTTTAATTGAACAAACTTGGTAGACATCCATAAGAAGATTTTTCATGTAACCTGAAAACATTAAACCTGTAAAATTAATCTGTGGCTCTTTGTTATTCTTGAAACAAGATTTTTAAGATTTTATTACATGTTTGTTATCGTTTTAACATTTTAATTTTCAAAACAGTAATTTACACACTTTAAGCAAATGTAAACTTGAAAACAGAGCTAATAAAAATGACGTTCTGATATCATTTTCAACACCCATTGACAATATATTTATATGCTGTAATTAATGATTATTTTTAGTCTCCACCAACAATTATATGAGCAAATCACTCAAGAAGCCTGAGCGACAGATCGACTTACAACAGATATAAACATATTTACAAAAACTGTAGCGATATATCTGATATAACTGTCGGATATATAGGGTCAGTCCTGTCACAAAATGCATTTGCAAATAGTTCCTGTAGGTATTCGTCCGCAGATATACTTCGTATACCTTGCAACAGATGACGACAGGTGAACTTTTATTTGAAAATCGTCTACTTTTTGTTAAATCAAAAGCTAACCTTTTCATTACTTTTAGTCTTATTTAGAAGATGGAAAATAAATTTACCTAAACCATTACTTCTTATAATTACCTTATAACATTTAATACTTCCTCTAAGTCAGACTATGCTCCAGAAATACATTTTTAATTGTTTGAAATGATAAACATGTATTCAATAATGTTTTATTAATTGATTTAGAGTATGTTTCATTTTTACAACCAACGAAGGTAGCGCTGAACACGCAGCACATTGTTATTTAGGTAGAAAAAAATTAAAGAAAGAAGTCTTCTTCCATACGAAACAAAAACTCCATAGGTTAACTATACCAATTGCTAACAGAGTAAAAATTTAAAAAAAAAATTAATTTCTCTTTATGCCAAGGATGTGGCTTTTTTTTTGGAAACTTGTAACAAAATACCAAAAACAAAAGTTTTTGAAATATAAAAATGGAAGCATTTCGGAGTCGAAATGGGCTTTATTTGGTTTAGATGCTAGATACGAACTTGCCATTTTACTTTACAACGAAAATATATCAGTATCTGTTATTTATCTTTTTCATATGAAACTCAAATAGTTAGTAATATAAGTAACGTGATAGATAAGCGTTAAAATGTAAGCTGAAATATGCCACCATATCTTGATTATATGTTGTTTTTAGTTAGCGGGTGTAAAAATTAATGATCGTACTCATTAATTGCAAGTTTAACAATATTCCGATGGACATATATATTGGACAGACGGGTGCACTCTTCTATCTATGATATGGTGACGAATTTTTTTTGTTTAAATCAAAGCATTTGGCTCACATTGACATTAACTCACTTACCTGCTTTAGCAAATATAAAAGAATGGAACTGCTTAAAAAAGTAAAATGAATTTCTTTAACGGAAGATTAAGATCTATATAGACAAAACACTAATGTATATATGGTTATTTATTTATCAATTACGATGTTTCTACTATACATAATAAATGATGGTTATGAAACTAATAAATATATATGAATCTAAAGATATACTATGCTTAAATTTGATATTGGAAAATATTTACAATTGCTGCACAGTCACTTTGTAAATAAAAATAACAATTTTTGTATAGATTTCAATAAAATTATGTCGCTAAAATATTTAAACAGGATGCATGGAAACTAAAACGTCTTGAACTATCCGTTGAACTTGGTTAAAACATTGTTCTCTGTTCCCACTTTTTAATATTATCTTTAGTGTTTGATGCTATAATTGTTCTTACTTGACTAAAAAACAACTTAGTTTATGTCGTAACAGCAGCCGTAACACTCACTTACTAGATGAGGAATGGCGGCACAGAATTCGGCAAGGGTTATTGGTCCGTCAACTGCAAGAAATGACAAAACAAAAGAAATAAATTACATGTCTGTAAATATTCAAATGACACCTAAGTGTAAACGAAGAGTATTACGGTTAATGTCACTATAACTTATGATTTTGTTATAATTGCATTCAATTGTTCCAATCTTGTTTATTAGCATAATAAATAAACGCCGGACTCAAAGAAAATATCCACCGTTAATGTTTCAACGGAAAAAAATGAGGGTGTTTTTTTACAATTCCAACAGTTGTTACAATTTATCTACAAGTTAACATTTTCAGTTGTCAATTATTAGTCGACGACAACTATGAGAGTCGATCATTCAGCTTCAATTCTCGAACAATACAGTATATTTCAGGTACGAAGATTGTATGTAAACGATTACAGACCATCTATTGAGTGTATGAAGGCGAAAAGATCACTCGTTTCCTTTTTCACACCAAATATAGATTCGAGTTCCTCTCTAAGGATAAGTCCGTCTCCATCAATGTCGTAGGTTTCAAATACGCATGGATTATCTTCAAGCATTATGCTAAATTGTGTTCCAATCTTAAATAAGATTCAACGCATACGATTGAAAAAATCAAACAGGTGAAATAGAATTACGACATTGACATTTGGTCATTTAAGTACGGTTACTATTTATTAGTATGTTGTTTTGTTCACATTTTGAATTAATACCATAATGTCACACAGAGAGATACAAATATAAATGAATACAAAAATAATTTGTTAGGAAGCTTTTGTGTAAAGCAAACAGTTCGTTACTCTTGCCAATTATCTTTACATAATACATCGAATTCACTAGTTTCTCAAACACAACATAAGACATGGTCAATCTGGTTTATTTAAATTTTCAGATGATTATATTATATATTATTCATGTTTAACATTATATATAGTAGTTATAGCTATTTGTGTTAAAAATTAGATGATACATATCCTATCATTTTGTATTTGCATAAATGCATATGAATTTTTGTTTGGAAATAGGCAAATAAGGATTAATATAATGAATAAAGTGGTATACACACCCTTTTGAGAATTTCTGTTTTCGTCACATTCCTGGGATCTGCAGATCTACGCTTTCTCATATTACAGGAACTATTCTCTCCAGTTGTAGAACAACTTTTATCACAGCAGCTTGCCTCCCATATACCGTAAAAAAGAACGAAAGCAAGTAACAAAATTTTAACGTCCTGAAAGAAAGAATAATAAAAACAACTTAGATATAATTAAGGTACGAGCATGTAGTTCATGTATTTGGGTATTCAGGCACCTTAATTAATTCTATAATCACACAAGTTGAATAAGATATTTATCACATGCTAAAACGATTTCAAACTTTATTGTTTCATCTTTGGCTAATCACACGGACAACGACAAACTGTAAATAATGATATTTCAAGACATTGATAAATTGTACAAATGGTACAAAATCAATAATATGCCCTTTACTCCAGAAATCAAAACGTATGGTGACAGGAAATAGACCAAAAGTAAAAAGAATTAGAAAAAAATGTATCTTACGATAAATGAAATAGTTCATCATCAAGCAGTGATGTGACTATTTGCATAGATAACACCTTAAAATGGAACTTCCAAATTGACAAAAGTTGTAAACTAAACAAAAACGGAAAAAAATATTGCTTTATTGAAAAGATATCCTGTCTTTTTGCACTTAGATATAAAATTAATGTTTTACAATGCATGTTAATGCATTGTTGACTATTGATGAATTAAATGTAATAATTGGAACAAAATTTACATAAATAATGTTTGTAAAATACTAAAACGAATTGTTTAAACCATTTTACAGCAACCACAAAGATAGCCGTCAATGGAGCTATTCGACGCTCTTAACTGGTTACCATTTCTTGACAAATGAAAATATTACACAGTGGTTCTTGTTTTTAGAACTTTAGATAACATAAAATCAAGTTTTATGACAGGATTGATGACGTTATCAAACGAAAAATACACAATTTAAGATGTAGCTCACGAAAAGATTTTGTATCATTCGAACAAAGTATTTTAAAAACACATTTTCTGATCATGACGGTAACATTTGGAACAGTATACCTTTAAAAAATTGTTGGCAACCTGAAATAATTTAAATAAAAATACAAAACATATTGTTGTGGGAGACACAGGCAAAAGTTTCATTTCTTCGTTTTGAATTTTCCGTTCATTATTCTTTAAATGTCCTCAAATATACTATGCAGTCAAAGGAACAAAACTTTTCGCATTAAAAAGAATAAAATGGTGGTTTCGAAACTTGACCCGCGTGGGTCAGGTTTGAGCATTAATATTTCACAATAGTTGTCAAAGTGGACTCTGGAACATTAAAGAACATTTCAAATGAATGATTTAAACTTGTTTCAATCATACAATATCAAACATATCCATTATTGTAACGTCGAGGGTTTGTTGAAGTCACATGACTTGTTTTAAAACTACTCATTGATATTCAGTCGGCGTCAAAATTTCGCTTAAAATATATAGATATAAAACACGAAATATTATGAATTAATACAGAAATTAATGCTGGAACTTTTAAAAATGACATTTTATCGTAATTTCAATACATAAGATCACTTTAATATTTTTGTCATTAATTTGCCTGAGAAACTCTTTAATAAGCATCATCATCATCTTCATCATATTATTATTATTATTATTATTATTATTATTATTATTATTATTATTTTGTACTCAATAACTTTCTGTTCAAAGATTGATAAAAGATGAACCACTATATGCTGAAATAAATATAAATTGTTATGAAAGGATTTTTTGCATAAGTGAGTAAAGTTACCGGCAAACGAAGAACCGATTTGATGTTTCCGACAGATTTGAGTTAGAAAAAAAATATTTTCACAACACTTCAGATTTAATGAGAAAAATACAATGGAATAAAACGCAATAACCTACCATTTTAACACCGGAATATGGTATCCTATTTATACACTATGATTCTGTGTGCTTTTCACACGCAAATTATGTACGAGGAAAGTTTGTGCATCATATCCTTTTATAGTTTATATGTACGAAAGGAGAAGGAAGTTGATCAATTAATTATCACGTGACTCATTCCAATGCTAGTGAATGTTTTCCTTGCATGGTACATGTTAAATAAGTGATAATTTACCTTTTTCCTGATTAAGCGGAAACAATTGACAAAATACCACAAGATGTAATCTGCTTATGCACAAAGATTATAGTTTAATTCACTATAAGACAAGCATTTTAATTTAATTTTTTTATCATAATATTGAGAAATAAATACTCATTAGCCCATGAGAAAAAGAAGGCTATCTTTAAGTCGACGCATACTTGTCTTTTCAGATACCAATCAACAATGCTTTAGCATTAAACGTATTCTAATATTGTAAAACTGACAAAAAAAATTTAAATACAATAGAAACATAATTTGCAAGACTGTTGGTAATGCATCTTGACCTTACGAGAGTAATTTATTTTCTTATATGTAATGTCTGCAAAAGTGATTTGTTAAATCACATTGACAAATAACAGACAAATAATGTTAAATGTTGAATTCTGCTAAAGCCGGTGCTAGGAAAGTGGTCGGTAGCAAGCCATTAACAGATTTATTTAAATTGAGCCTGCACCATTTTAAATTTTCCATTTTGGACTCTTTTGGAACGCAGATATAGACTCCAAACAGAAATGTAGAGTGATATATATTTTGAACAGAAGAAGTAGAATGCTATTATTTTGAACAGTAAATATAGAAAAACTTGGAAAAGCGCGAAGATATTGCTATAAATTTAGTACAACCCAATTAGATAGTCAAATATTTTGGTTTTTGGCGCGGTGCAACAAATACATATTGCTTTTGACTTTGGACCACAAAAGTACATTTACATTACATGTACCCGATTGCTGTTCACTAAAATGCAATCATGGAGTACTTCAAACTTTTGGAATAACAAATAAATATATCAATAGACATGAAACAAAAGTTTGTAATGTACTACAAAAGTTGTTAATGGAACAGCAAAGTGTTTTTTTTTCATTTATAACATAAAGACTTGGCACTGCAAAAATGGAGTGTTGAAGAATTTGAACACCAAAAGCAAGCAAGGAAGAGTTGATTCCAAACGGAATTTTTAATTGCTTTAAAACATGTAAATGGAATTTATAAAAAAATAACAAACAAAAAATGCTCCCAATTTTCTTTTTTCTTTTTTTCTTGAATATCTGGAGAAATGGGTACCTCTCGAGAAGTATGAATTAAAAACTCAAAATGTTTATAACACTACAGTCTTGATATGACTGAGGTTTTTTACGAGAGACTATGCAGGTTGCAATTCCTCCCATAACCCACCATCCACTCCCACTCAACTAGCACTGGATAAACACATGTTGTATATTCGACAAAATAAACTATTGGAATGAATGACCTGAAGGACCTGAGAAAATATAACACTGCTTTAGCTTAAAATTGGAATGACATGAAGACATTTTTTAGATTAAGCTAATACAAGCTATACATATTTACTTTATCTTTACATCAAATTCTATATTCTGCAGGTTTATTTCAAATAACGCTTTCAGTGCTTTGATTTTGTGAGGATGAGCTGTGATTTATATAAAGTAATAGAAAGACATTTCAAAGCTGTTTTCCGCGTTCAACTTTTCCTCCATTATCAACTTATTCCTTATCCGTTATGATTGGCTAGGATTTGAAAGTAGATAGTGTTTCACTAGAAATAAAATATGTATGTCGTGTAATTTCATACGAGTTTCCTGTTAATTTTTAATTAGGTGTTAATATGCATTTCATTTTCCTCTTTGATTTTCAAATATCAAAGTGTCCCTCTACTAATGAGAAGGCTTGAGGATATCATCTGGGCACGTTGCGGTTACACACGTTTATTACAAATTTGGCTACAAAATGTCAAGTTTACGTAATGATCAAGATTTACTTAAAATATTCACCAGTAAATGTTTTTAAAAGGCTCTCCTTTACAAACATTCAATCTGTACATTTTTTTTGTTTATTTCGATAAAAAATGTGTTAAAATATATCAGAAATGCTCAAATTATATATAGATCACAATTAAATTAAAGTTTTATTTTAAGTTTATGTCTAAAAAGTATCTTTAAAAATATCAAGGAAAATTCTCTTTGTTGCACATTTCTCAAATTTGGTTTTCTCAATCTATACGAGTATACAAAATACAAAACCCATGATATATATATATTTCTTTGAGAGAATAATTTTAAGTGCCTGACTTTTTTATAAACTTGTGTGCTTCAAAAAATAAACGATTCTGATGTCACTAATCTTTCTTTCTACCGTCAACCTGAAATCATTATAGGAATTTCTGAGGGTCTTGGGTAGAGTAATTTAATGTTGTTTTTTTTTTGTTATTAAACCTCCAATATTAAGCTTTGTTCAATCAATTAAAATTCAAAATTCGTTCGGTTTTGAGCATTTTGTATTTCCCAAGTTGTTGGCCCCGGAAAAATAAAACTCATACATAAAACATGTATAATTGGATAAATACCGCCTAAGCACAAGAATTTAATGTGTGTTTTGTATTAAATATACATCATGAATCTGTTTTAAAAGTTTATGCCATAATATCGTCAACGCACGTTTATTTCGTGTTGTAAAGTCTGCAGAGTCCCTCGGAACTGTTGGAGCCATCGCCCTACCGGGCTCGTGCACCAACCGTTCCTCGGGACACTGCAGACGTTTTAACACGGGAAATTGTGCGTTAACTCTATAAAATAACTGTATTTCATCAATTGTTTAGATTTGTACTTATTTCAATAAGATGATTATGATGACCCTAGACAACGCACCTAAGATACGTTGTTGTGAAAAGGTCATAATACTTTATGCACGGAGCTATTTGTGTGTACACTTTTTTGTCCATGGACCCAATTTTGATCAATTAATCCCTTCGATTCACAGCTAAAATAATCGGAACCAAACTTCCTTCCGATTTCTTTTATGTAAAGTCATAAATTGGTTTCCTCTTCGCATGTCATATACATACGGTGGCACAAAGGTTACATGGATGTGTTTTCATTTATCTCGTGGCCACGAGATACTATGTCGTGGCCACGAATTACTAAGTCGTGCCCACGAGATAGCTAAGTCGTTGCCACCACATAGTATCACGTGGATGAGTTACTCAGTCGTGGCCACGAGATAGCTAAGTCGTGGCCATTTGATACTATTTCGTGGCCACGAGTTACTAAGTCGTGGCCACGAGATACTTTGTCGTGGCCACGAGATACTATGTAGTGGCAACGAGATACTATGTAGTGGCCACGAGATAAATAACCAATCAGATTACACCATTTATATGAATTGTCCTAATTAAACAGACATGTGCTATAGTACAAGGATGCCGCTTCTTCACCAGCCTGTAAAAGTGCCATTTATACAACTTATTGACTGGTCAATAATTTTACATTAAGCATCACTGTGACCCTGATTTTTTTACCCATTGACCTCGAAATTATTAGATATCATCAACTGATCAGTAGCAATGATATTTCTGGGTTATATAAACCATGGCTTATCATTTTAAATTATTCATCAGACAAGGATATTACCTGATAGGCTATCTACTGTCCATGGGCAATGTCCCTTCCAAATAAAATAAACCAGGACTTATTCCTTCTCATGTTATCGTATTAACAGGTCGAACAAACTGACCAATTCGATCACAACATTGCCCAAACAAAAAGCTATAGTCAAAATAATGTATGATCGGCCTTGGAAGGTAAGTTTCTAATTTGATCCTAAAGACAAGTTGAAAGTGAATATCTTCGGTATTTTCAAAGATTAATGTTGCATTAACCGTAGTTAGACTTAATAACTCGTGGCCACGACATAGCATCTCGTGGCAACGACTTAGCTATCTCGTGGCCACGACTAGTATAGTAACTCGTGGCCACGACATAGTATCTTGGGCCACGACTTAGCTTTCTCATGGCCACAATTAGTAACTCGTGGCCACGACATAGTATCTCGTGGCTACGAGATAAATAAAAACACACACATCACCTTTGTGACACCGTATATACATGAATGAGAACGAGAACAAGTTTCACATATACAGCAGTCGTGTAAATAAAACTATATTAACGATTACCAAATGAAAAGCGGCGTTACAATCGTGCAGTATTATAAAACATTTAGCATTGAAGGTACATAAGCAAAATAAATCCGCTAGGCATTGATGGTACATAAAGCAAAAACGTTCCACTAGGCATTGATTGTACATAAAGCAAAAAAGCTTCACTAGGCATTGATGGTACATAAAGCAAAAAAGTTCCACTAGGCATTTATGGTACATAAAGCAAATAAAGTTCCACTAGGCATTGATGGTTCAAATAGCAAAAAAGTTCCACTAGGCATTGATGGTACATAAAGCAAAAATATTTTATTAGGCATTGATGGTACATAAAGCAAAAAAGTCTAACACACGTACTATAAAACATGATTTATTTGTGAGACCAAAAAATTTAATTTTCAAAACAACCTGCCGTAACAGATAGTAATATCTAATTTTCAGGGTAACTGTTAAGTAGAAACTCGGCAAAGCGTCGTTACTGCCGTAAACTATTAAGTTACCGTTTAGCTATATTAATAATTTCTGTTGGGGCCAGATTATACTAGAAATGTATCTAGGACACAGAATAATATAAATAATGACAGGACAGCATAGCTGGTATTTCATCTTCTCTTTCCAATATAAGACCTTTCAAAGTAACAAGAGGGCAAAAATTGCAAAGATGGCCCTAGATCGCTCACCTGACAAATCAAACTCATCCGAGCAATTACCTACATGACCTAGACAAGCATTCTGACCAAGTTTCATGACAGTTGAGTAAAAAATATGGTCTCTCAAGTGTTTACAAGTTTTTTTCAATATGTGAACGGTGTGAACTATATTTTGATCCCAGGTGACCCATATTCAAATTTTACCTACAAATCATCAGTACAAAATTTCAAATCAAGTTCCAGGATATTTGGATCAAAACAATAGGCACTAGAAAAAAAATATTTATTTTTTATTGAGATATTTTTAGCTCCTGTGACATAGTTTTCAATTCGAAATTACCAATGTTCGAACTCGTACGAGCAATTACCTAGACAATCATCCTGACCAAATTTGATAACTATTGACTTAAAATGTGACCACCAGAATGGTCACAAGGTGTTTTCATATTTGGGCGGTGGAACTTATTGTTTAACAAACTTTCAGAAAAAATTTCAGGATATTTGGATCAAAACAGGATATTGGCATAACGTGTCTACGTTTTAAAGACTGTGCAGAATGTGGTCATTGTAATCATATGAACATATAGATTAACATTTTGTAGTTATTAAATTTTCGCCATTGTCATGCTCAATGTTAAATTATGCTAAAGGAGGTACAAATGGGGGTGACGCTAAGGTTCTTTTGCCATTGTCGTTCATTATCCAAGCTCATTTATACAGAGCATGTAACATTTTTCAATTTTGTGAATTTGGGTGTTATATTAGTTCTTTATGTTTCCATAAAAGTGCGCAATTCATTTAACTGACCGAATATGTATTCAGTATTCTACATATAAATATTTAATTTTTTAACCAAATATCCGTTCTTCCGAAAATATATTCTTTTCTGATTGTTTATCGTTTTAACATTTAAAAAAAAAGTAATTTACACACATTAAGCAAATGTAAACTTGAAAACTACCTAATAAAACTATCGTTCTGATATTATTTGCAACACCCATTGATAATATATTTATATGCTGTAATTAATGATTATTTTTAGTCTCCAGCAATAACTATATGAGCGAATCACTCAAGAAGCCTGAGCGTCAGATCGCCTTTCAACAGAAAAAAACATATTTACAAATATTGTAGCGATATAACTGATGTAACTGGCGGATATATAGGGTCAGTCCTGTCAAGGAATGCATTTGCAAATAGTTCCTGTAGGTATTCTTCGCAGATATACTTCGTACACCTTGCAACAGATGAAGACAGATGAACATTATTTGAAAATGATCTACTTTTTGTTAAATTAAAAGCTAAGGTTTTCAATACATTTTGTCATATTTGGTAGATGGAAATTAAATTTACCTATAACATTACTTCTTATAGTTACTTTATAACATTTTATACTTCTTTTTAGGCAGGCTTTGCCCCAAAAATACATTTTTAATTGTTTTGAAATGACAAACATGTATTCACTAACGTTTTATTAATGGATTTAGAGTATGTTACATTTTTACAACCATGAACATGCAGCACATTGTTATACGTTATTAATGTAGGAAAATGTAAAGAAAGAGGTCTTCCATACGAATACACAAATTCCATAGATTAACTATACCAACTGCTAACAGAGTAGAAATGCAAAAAAAATCCTCTTTATGTCAATGATGAGGCTTTTTTGGAAACTTGTAACAAAATACAAAAAAAGGTTTTTGAAATATAAAAATGGGAGCATTTCGGAGTCATAATGGGCTTTATTTGGTTTAGATGTTAGATACGAAGTTGCCATTTTACTTTACAACGAAAATATATCAGTATCTGTAATTAATTTTTCTACACGAAACTCAAATAGTTAGAAATAAAAATAACGTGATAGATAAGCGTTAAACTGTTAGCTGAAATACGCCACCATATCTTGATTAGATAACGGGTGTTAAAAATGATCGTACTCATTCAATGCAATTTTAACAATATTCCGATTGACATATACATTGGACAGACTCGTGCACTCTTCTATCCAAGATATGGTGACGAATTTTTCTGTAAGTCAAATTTGTTTAAATCAAAGCATTTGACTCACATTGACATTAACTCACTTAACTGCTTTAGCAAATATAAAAAATGAAACTGCTTTATGAGTAAAAGAACTTCTTTCACGGAAGATTAAGATCTATATAGAACAAAGTTAACACTAATGTATAAAGTATGTTTTTTTATTCATCAATTACAGTGATACTAATATACATAATAACTGATGGGTATGAAATAAATAAATATATATGAATTTAAAGATATACTTTGCTTAAATTTGATAAAAGAAAATATTGACAATTGCTGCACCGTCACTTTGTAAATAAAAATAAAAACTTTTGGATAGATTTCAACAAATTTCTGTCACTAAAATATTTCAACAGCATGCATGGAATCTAAGACGTCTTAAACTATCCGTTATACTTGATTTAAACACTGTTTTCTGTTCCCACTTTTTAAATATTATCTTTTGTGCTTGATGCTATAATTGTTCTTACTTGACTAAAAAACAACTTAGTTAATTTCGTAACAGCAGCCGTAACACTCACTTACTAGATGAGGAATGGCGGCACAGAATTCGGCAAGGGTTATTGGTCCGTCAACTGCAAGAAATGACAAAAAAAATGGAAATTAATGACATGTCTGTAAATATTAAAATGACACCTAAGTGTAAACGAAGAGTATAAAGGTTAATGCCATTATAACTTATGATTTTGTTATAATTGCATTCATTTGTTCCAATCTTGTTTATGTGCATAATCAATAAACGCCGGACTCAAAGAAAATATCCACCGTTAATGTTTCAACGGAAAAAAATGAGGGTGTTTTTTTACATTTCCAACAGTTGTTTCAATTTATCTACAAGTTAACATTTTCAGTTGTCAAATTATTAGTCGACGACAACTATGAAAGTCGATCATTCAGCTACAATTCTCGAACAATACAGTATATTTCAGGTACGGAGATTGTATGTAAACGATTACAGACCCATCTATTGAGTGTATGAAGGCGAAAAGATCATTCGTTTCCTTTTTCACACCAAAATATAGATTCGAGTTTCTTCTCTAAGGATAAGTCCGTCTCCATCAATGTCGTAGGTTTCAAATACGCATGGATTATCTTCAAGCATTATGCTAAATTGTGTTCCAATCTTAAATAAGATTCAACGCATACGATTGAAAAAATCAAACAGGTGAAATAGAATTACGACATTGACATTTGGTCATTTTAAGTACGGTTTACTATTTATTAGTATGTTGCTTTGTTCACATTTTGAATTAATACCATAATGTCACACAGAGAGATACAAATATAAATGAATACAAAAATAATTTGTTAGGAAGCTTTTGTGTAAAGCAAACAGTTCGTTACTCTTGCCAATTATCTTTACATAATACATCGAATTCACTAGTTTCTCTAACACAACATAAGACATGCTCAATCTGGTTTATTTAAATTTTCTGATGATTATATTATATATTATTCATGTTTAACATTTAATATAGTAGTTATAGCTATTTGTGTTAAAAATTAGATGATACATATCCTATCATTTTGTATTTAAATAAATGCATATGAATTTTTGTTTGAAAATAGGCAAATAAGGATAAATATAATGAATAAAGTGGTATACAAACCCTTTTGAGAATTTCTGTTTTCGTCACGTTCCTGGGATCTGCAGATCTACGCTTTCTCATATTACAGGAACTATTCTCTCCAGATGTAGTGCAACTTTTATCACAGCAGCTTGTCTCCCATATACCGTAAAAAAGAACGAAAGCAAGTAACAAAATTTTAACGTCCTGAAAGAAAGAATAATAAAAACAACTTAGATATAATTAAGGTACGAGCATGTATTCATGTCTTTGGGTATTCAGGCACCTTAATTAATTCTATGATCACACACGACCCAATGACCACACAAGTTGATTAAGATATTTATCACATGCTAAAACGATTTCAAACTTTATTGTTTCATCTTTGGCTATTCACACGGACAACGACAAACTGTAATTAATGATATTTCAAGACATTGACAAATTGTACAAATGGTACAAAATCAATAATATGCCCTTTACTCCAGAAATCAAAACGTATGGTGACAGGAAATAGACCAAAAGTAAAAAGAATTAGAAAAAATGTATCTTACGATATTTGAAATACTTCATCATCAAAACAGTGATGTGACTATTTGCATAGATAACACCTTAAAATGGTACTTCCAAATTGACAAAGGTTGCAAACTAAAAAAATAAACCAAAAAGATATTGCTTTATTGAAAAGATATCGTGTTTTTTGCACTTTGATATGAAATTAATGTTTTACAATACAATCCACTACACAGTGGTTCTTCTTTTTAGAACTTAAGATAACATAAAATCAAGTTTTATGACAGAATTGATGACTTTATCAAACAAAAAATACACAATTTAAGATGAAGCTCGCGAAAAGATATTGTATCATTCAAACAAATTATTTCAAAAACACATTTTCTGATCATGACGGTAACATTTGGAACAGTATACCTTTAAAAGATTGTTGGCAACCTAAATGTTTTAAATAAAAATACAAAGCATATTGTTGTGGGAGACACAGGCAAAAGTTTCATTTCTTCGTTTTGAATTTTCCATTCATTATTCACTAAATGTCCTCAAATATACTATGCAGTCAAAGGAACAAAACTTTTCGCATTAAAAAGAATAAAATGGTGGTTTCGAAACATGACCCTTGTGGGTCAGGTTTGAGCGTTAATATTTCACAATAGTTGTCAAAGTGGACTCTGGAACATTAAAGAACATTTCAAATAAATGACTTAAACTTGTTTCAATCATACAATATCAAAAATATCCATTATTGTAACGTCGAGGGTTTGTTGAAGTCACATGACTTGTTTTAAAACTACTCATTGATATTCAGTCGGCGTCAAAATTTGGCTTACAATGTATAGATATAAAACACAAAATATTATGAATTAATACAGAAATTCATGCTGGAACTTTTAAAAATGACATTTTATCGTAATTTGAATACATAAGATCACTTTAATATTTTTGTCATTAATTTGCCTGAGAAACTCCTTAATAAACATCATCATCATCATCATCATCATCATCATCATCGTTATTTTATTATTATTATTATTTTTATTATTATTATTATTATTATTATTATTATTATTATTATTATTATTATTATTATTATTATTATTAAAATTATTATTATTATTATTATTATTCTTATTCTTATTCTTATTATTATTATTATTATTTTGTATTCAATAACTTTCTGTTCAAAGATTGATAAAAGATGAACCACTATATGCTGAAATAAATATAAATTGTTATGAAATGATTGTTTGCGTAGGTGAGTAAAGTTACCGGCAAACGAAGAACCGATTTGATGTTTCTGACAGATTTGAGTTAGAAAAAAATATTTTCACAACAGTTCTGCTTTAATGAGAAAAGAACGATGGAATAAAACGCAATTACCTACCATTTTAACACCGGAATACGGTATCCTATTTCTACACAATGATTCTGAGTGCTTTTCACACGCAAATTATGTACGAGGAAAGTTTGTGCATCATATCCTTTTTATAGGTTATAAGTACGGATTGAGAAGGAAGTTGATCTATTAATTATCACGTGACTCATTCCAATCCTAGTGAATGTTTTCCTTGCATGGTATTTGTTAAATAAGTGATAATTTACCTTTTTTCCTGATTAAGCGGAAACAATTGACAAAATACCACAAGATGTAATCTGCTTATGTACAAATATTATAGTTTAATTCACTATAAGACAAGCATTTTAATTTAATTTTAATCATAATATTGAGAAATAAATACTCATTAGCCCACGAGAAAAGAAGGCTATCTTTAAATCGACGCATACTTGTGTTTTCAGATACCAATCAACAATGCTTTAGCATTAAACGTATTCTAATATTGTAAAACTGACAAAGAATTTAAACTACAATAGAATCATAATTTGCAAGACAGTTGGTAATGCATCTTGACATTTCGAGAGTAATTTATTTTCTTATATGTAATGTCTGCAAAAGTGATTTGTTAAATCACATAGACAAATAATAGACAAATAATGTTAAATATTGAATTCTGCTAAAGCCGGTGCTAGGAAAGTGGTCGGTAGCAAGCCATTAACAGATTTATTTAAAGTGAGCCTGCACCATTCTAAATTTTGCATTTTGGACTCTTTTGGAACGCAGCTATAGACTCCAAACAGAAAAATGTAGATTGATATATATTTTGAACAGAAGAAGTAGAATGTTATTATTTTGAACAGTAAATATAGAAAAACTTGGAAAAGCGCGAATATATTGCTATAAATTTAGTGCAACCCAATTAGATAGCCAAATATTTTGGTTTTTTTGGTGCGGTGCAACAAATACATATTGCTTTTGACTTTGGACCGCAAAAGTACATTTACATTACATGTACCCGATTGCTGTTCACTAAAATGCAATCATGGAGTACTTCAGACTTTTGGAATAACAAATAAATATATCAATACATATGAAACAGTAGTTTGTTATGTACTACAAAAGTTGTTAATGGAACAGCAAAGTGTTTTTTTTTGTTTTTTTTTTTTCATTTATAACATAAAGACTTGGCACTGCAAAAATGGAGTGTTGAAGAATTTGAACACCAAAAGCAAGCAAGGTAGAGTTGATTCCAAACGGAATTTTTAATTGCTTTAAAACATGTAAATGGAATTTATAAAAAAATAACAAACAATAAATGCCCCATATTTTCTTTTTTCTTGAATATCTGGAGAAATGGGTACCTCTCGAGAAGTATGAATTAAAAACTCAAAATGTTTATAACACTACAGTCTTGATATGACTGAGGTTTTTTTACGAGAGACTATGCAGATTGCAATTCCTCCCATAACCCACCATCCACTCCCACTCAACTAGCACTGGATAAACACATGTTGTATATTCGACAAAATAAACTATTGAAATCAATGACCTGAAGGACCTGAGAAAATATAACACTGCTTTAGCTTAAAATTGGAATTACATCAAGACATTTATTTAAGATTAAGCTGATACAAACTATACATATTTACTTTATCTTTACATCAAATTCTATATTCTGCAGGTTTATTTCAAATAACGCTTTCAGTGCTTTGATTTTGTGAGATTGACCTGTGATTTATAAAAAATAATAGAAAGACATTTCAAAGCTGTTTTCCGCGTTCACATTATCCTCCATTATCAACTTATTCCTTATCCGTTATGATTGGCTAGGATTTGAAAGTAGATAGTGTTTCAATAGAAATAAAATATGTATGTCGTGTAATTTCATACGAGTTTCCTGTTAGTTTTTAATTAGGTTTTTATATGCATTTCATTTTCCTCTTTGCTTTTCAAGTATCCAAGTATCCCTCTACTAATGAGAAGGCTTGAGGATATAATCTAGGCACGTTGCGGTTACACACGTTTATTACAAAGTTGGATACAAAATGTCAAGTTTACGTAATGATCAAGATTTACTTAAAATATTCACCAGTAAATGATATTAAAAGGCTCTCGTTTACAAACATTCAATCTGTACATTTTTATGTTTATTTCGGTAAAAATGTGTTAAAATATATCAGAAATACTCGAATTATATATAAATCACAATTAAATTAAAGTTTTATTTTAAGTTTATGTCTAAAAAGTATCTTTAAAAATATCAAGGAAAATTCTCTTTGTTGCACATTTCTCAAATTTGGTTTTCTTAATCTATTCGAGTATACAAAATAAAAAAAACACTTAAATTTGTAATTGACATTCAATTGACAATAGGGGGTAGTTGTAAAAATGTAAGAAAACATAAAATATGAAGGTTTAATATTTTGTCAAAGTTGGTAAGGTAAATTTATTCGATAATTATCAAAGAAAAAAACAACAAAATTTACGCTGGTATGTTAATTCCACTTCTCCGCTTTTTTTTGCAAATGTTCCCGATTAAAAAGGATTTCATTATTGGTCCAAGGTATTTTTGTCTTCCTTTGGGTCAAGTGGTCGTGCTCAAATATCAACAAATGCATATGCAATCATGTGTATACATTCAGTTATTAAATTAAGTTGTGTGAGATTACTTGTTTTAATATCTTTCAAAATGATATTATTTATTTATTGTTAAAATATTTAAGATGACAACAAAGTAACAAGCGTGCTCTAAATAGCAAACATGTACATGACTGTATAGTAAAAATGGGTGTCCGTTTACGCATATTTAAAACGCCTTCACAATTTTATTTTGAAAATATAAAATGGCTTTTAAACAAGCCCAATGAGATGATACTTTTTTCATTCGATATCTAAACATTGTAAAACTAAGGCTACTGTCATATCATTTCATATATGCGTGGTGAAACACATACATCAATGATATCGCCTGACTTACAAACGGTTTTTGATGAGTTAGAATATATAATAGCATAAAATCAGCTGTTTTTCCCTCTTTTGTCCATGTAATAACGATACCAAAACCATGTGTCAACATAGTCACGCGCTCTTGTTATAGCCCGGTTTTACATATGCGCAATACATACAGGGCTCAGTAAACAAACCAAAAAAATGACGATTTCGCCTGTTTAATAAAGAGTCATGCGCTCTTGTTATATTGAAATTATTTATTCGAGGGCCTCAATCGCATAACGGCGAGGATCATTCAAATAACTATGCCGGAAATACGGCGCATAGAATCTTCGCTAATCTTGGTTGTCGCCCTTTCTAAGAAACGGACAGTTGTCAATGTAAACAAATATCTGTCATACAGTTTCACCCTCCGATTAACTTACAATACAAGATAACACAAAATGAAAATGAGAAATTGTTGTTTTATTGATGTTTATATTGATAAATTCTTTATATATATTTCTTTGATAGATTAATGTTAAGTGCCTGACTTTTTAGCTCACCTGACCACGTAGTGGTCAAGGTGATGTATAGTGATGGGGCTATGTCCAGCGTCCGCCGTCGTGCGCCGTCAACGATTGGGTTGTTAACAGTCTAGCAGTCACAGTTTTGATTGGATCATTGTCAACCTTTGTCAGAATGTTTGTCTCAATGCAAAACAGATCAAGTTCGAAGATGGGTTATATCCGGTCAAAAACAAGGTCACAGGAGCTAGAAATAGAAAAAGCTTATAAACACTCTAGTGGCTGCAGTTTTGAACCAAATATTCTGGAAATTTGTCAGGAAGGTTGTTTTGATGATTAATAGATCAAGTTCGAAGATTGGTCATCTCCGGCCAAAAACTAGGTCACAGGAGCTAAAAATAGAAAAGCTTGTTAACACTCAATTGGCTGCAGTTTTGATCCAAATATTCTGGAAATTTGTCAGGAAGGTTGTTTTGATGATTTCTAGGTCAAGTTTAAAGATGGGTCATCTCCGGTCAAAAACTAGGTCACAGGAGCTAAAAATAGAAAAAGCATTTTAACACTATAGTGGCTGCAGTTTTGATCAAAATCTTCTAGAAATTTGTCAGGAAGGTTGCTTTTAAGATTTCTAGGTCAAGTTCGAAGATGGGTCATCACCTGTCAAAAACTAGGTCACAGGAGCTAAAAATAAAAAAAGTTTGTTAACACTCTAGTAGCTGCAGTTTTGGTTCAAATATTCTGGAGATTTGTCAAGAAGATTGTTTTGATAATTTCTAGATCAAGTTCGAAGATGGGTTATTTTTGCCTTGTTAAGCGAAAATATGATCGGGTCTATGAAAATAAGATTTATTTTTGATAGATTGTATTGAAAACGTATTTTTGTTGTAATTAAATGATTTGCATGAATGAAATAATAAAGAATGAAATATTTTGCAATGAAATATTAGACGTTTGTAAATATTATTTCGTAGCCGCGATCTTATTTTCGCAAAAATAGCTTATTTTCGGTATCCATCTATACCCCTCTAGTGGCTGCAGTTTGATCCAAATATTCTGGAAATTTGTCAGGAAGGTTGTTTTGATAATTTCTAGGTCAAGTTCGAAGATGGGTTATCTCCGGTCAAAAACTAGGTCACGGGAGCTAAAAATAGATAAAGTTGGTTTACACTCTACTGGCTGCAGTTTTGATTTAAATATTCTGGAAATTTCTCAGGAAGTTGTTTTGATAATTTCTAGATCAAGTTCAAAGATGGGTCATATCTAGTTAAAAACTAGGTCACAGGAGCTAAAAATAGATAAAGTTGGTTTACACTCTACTGGCTGCAGTTTTGATTTTAATATTCTGGAAAATTGTCAGGAAGGTTGTTTTGATAATTTCTAGATCAAGTTCAAAGATGGGTCATATCTGGTTAAAAACTAGGTCACAGGAGCTAAAAATAGAAAAAGCTTGTTTACACAAACATCTTTATAACACTGTAGTGGCTGCGGTTTTGATCCAAATATCCTGGAAATTTGTCAGAAAGGTTGTTTTTATGATTTCTAGGTCAAGTTTGAATATGGGTCGTCTCCAGTCAAAAATTAGGTCACATTGCCCAAATAAGGAAAACCTTTTTAACACACTAGAGGTCACATTTTTGACTCAATTGTCATCAAACTTGACCAGGATGCTTGTCTAAGACATTGTTTGGATGCGGTTAATGGGTCAGGTTGACGGTAGAAAGAAAGATTA